CGGGCCCGGGCCCGGGGTCTCCCTCCTCGCGCCCCTCCCTCTCCGCCGTGGGTGGGGGGCGCCGTCCTCCCGGGGGTTTGGGGGTGCCCTCGTGTCGCGGGCCCGGGGCGGGCGATCGCCTTCCTCCCTGCGTCTCCTCCGCCCTTCCTCGCCCCGGCTTCCCCTTCCCACTCGCTGGTGGCACCCCCAGAATTCAGGAGTCTTCCCGACCGCCCTGCCCGTGCTGGGCGCCTCGGGTCGGTTCCCGGGCCCCGGTGCCCCGCGCCCACCTCCCACCCCGCGTCCCTCCTGGCAGACGGGACTCAGTTTCCCCTCTGGGGAAATTCCCAGATAAAATGGGGCCTGGGCGGGACCGGGGTGGGCGTGGTGGGGCGCAGGGCTGTGTGACCCGCTCTGCTCCACCGTGTTGCCGGGGCCGTGGGGGAATCCACTGGGCTTGTCTAAGGGGCTGTGGGCCCTGGGAGGGTTGGTCTGGTTGTCCATGCCTCAGTTTCCCCCTCTGTTAAGTGGGTCGCACCCACGACGGCTTTTCTGAGTGGACAGTGACCTGGCTCTGTAAGGTGCGGAGTAAATGGGAGGGATTTTTGGTTGGTTGATTGTGGGGCTTGAACTCAGGACCTGGCGGCTGTCCCTGAGCTCTTTCACTCAAGGCTAGCTAGCACCCTACCACTCTGAGCCACAGCTCCACTTTTGCTTTTCTGGTGGTTCGTTGGAGATAAAACATCTCATGGATTTTGCTGCGAGGCCTGACTTCGAATGTCCATCCTCAGATCTCAGCCTCCTGAGTAGCTAGGATTACAGGTGTGAGCCACCGGAGCCCAGCTTTGTTTCTGTGTGTATGTGCTGGGGGTACTCAAGAGTTGAACTCAGGACCTGGGCCTGGTCCCTGAGCTCTTTCACTCAAAGCTAGTGCTCTACCACTTGAGTGACACTTCCACTTCTAGTTTTCCGGGATTACTTGGAGATAAAGAGTCTCAGAGACTTTCCTGCCTGGGCTGGCTTTGAGCCTTGATCCTCAGATCTCAGCCTCCTGAGTAGCTAAGATTACAGGTGTGAGCCACTGGTCCCCAGTGGAGGGTTTTTAAATTCAATGATTGCCTTTCATGATTTTCCCAAATGTTCTGCCCTTTTAGGGTTACTTTGAAATGGTTTTAGCACTCCATTTTTCTGTGGCCAGTGTGATTTTTATTATTATTGTTTTGTTAGTACACCTGTCAGGTTTTTTTTTTTTTTTTTGTCCGTCATGGGGCTTGAACTCTCGGCCTGGGCGCTGTCCCCCAGCTCTTCAACTCAAGGCAGGCGCTCTATCACTGAGCCACGGTGCCACTTCAGTTTTCTGGTGGTTAATTGGAGATAAGAATTTCACAGACTTTTTCTGCCCCGACTGGCTTTGAACCTCGATCCTCAGATCTCAGCCTCCTGAGTAGCTAGGATGACAGGCTTGAGCCACCAGCACCCAGCTCTGTCAGATCTTTACCAGAAACCTAGGTGGCCTTTTCAGGCCAGAAACTGATCGAGACCGAGGATGCCTGCCTTTTTCTTTTTCTTTCTTTTTTTTTTTTGTGTCCTGTCATGGGGCCTGAACTCTGGGCTTGGGCACTGTCCCTCAGCTCTTCAGCTCAAGGCTAGCGTTCTACTACTTGAGCCACAGCACCACTTCCAGCTTTGTTTTTCTTTTTGCTTATGTGGAATCGAACCCAGGGCCTCATGCATGCAAGGCAAGCACTCTACCACTGAGCCACCTTCTCAGCCCCGCCTTTTTCTTATTTACTTACTTTGTGGTGTTTTGACATAGTCTCTATGGGACCCTAGCTAGCCTTGAACTTGAGATCCTCCTGTGTCCACCTTGCCTCCTGTGTACTGGGATTATAGGTGTGCTCTTCCAGGCCTGGCTCAGAGGATGCTCTAGGGCCTTTGACCATCCCCAGTAGGCACTGACTGCCCCCTCCCCATCCCGGAAGTGCTAAATCTGTAAAAATATTGGTGAGGTTAGGGTTACACCCGCTAGGTTACTTCCTTGTGGCCCTTTTCCTGGGTGTTTACCTGCCTTGCCCGTCTGCTACCCGCTGAGTCACCTCCAGCTCTTCAACATGGGGAAGTAGGTTCTTCTGTCTGGAGGGGAAGAAGGTGGGGTTTTGCCAGGGGCATGGCCAACTCCCGGCCCCAAGCCAAAGCTCCCAGGAGCTTTTTTTTTTGTCAGTTGTGGGGCTTGAACTCAGGGCCTGGGTGTTGTCCCTGAGCTCTTTTTTTTTTGCTCCAGGCTAGCACTCTACTACTTTGAGCCCCACTTGGGGTTCTTAGGTGGTTAATTGGAGATCAGAGTCTTATGGACTTTCCTGCCCGGGCTGGCTTCAAATCACGATCCTCAGTTCTCAGCCTCCTAAGTGGGTAGAATTACCCGTGTGAACCACTAGTGTCTGGCTTTCGAGGAGCACTCTGGGCATCTTTCTCCCCATTATCCTGCCTCCCCTCCATGGGCGTTGGTCACTTCTAAAGTGTAGGCAGTGTGTGTGTGTGTGTGTGTGTGTGTGTGTGTGTGTGTGTGTGTGTGTGTGTGTGTGTGTGTGTGTGTGTGTGTGTGCTGGCCCTGGAGCTTGAACTCAGAGCCTAGGTGCTGTCCCTGAGCTTTTCCCACTCAAGGCTAGCACGCTACTGCTTGAGCTACTGCTCCATTTTCGCTTTTTGGTGGCTACTTGGAGATAAGAGTCTCACAGACTTTCCTGTCCCAGCTGGCGTCAAACTTCAATCCTCAGATCTCAGCCTCCAAGTAACTGGTATTGTAGGTGTGAGTCACAGGTGTGTAGGCATTTTCTGAGGCCTGGAGGATTTCAGGAATCAGAGTTCTGTGGTCCTGTTTCACTGCTTTATAAATAGTGGATTCATTGGCTGGAGTAGTGTAAACAAGAGTTTAGTTATTCACTCAAGAAACCTATCATGATCCCCCCCCACCCCCCCCACACACCCTGCTATGCCTTGTCTCCTGGGGAATCTCAAAGGGACACCAGCTGGACCCAGATTCCAACCACTGACTTCTTCCCCAGGGTCTAGGAAACCAGCCAGCAATGGCAAGGAGTAAACAAGGAAAGGAAAGTCCAGCTGGCTCAGGTGCCAACTGGTTAAGCCTGAATAAGGCCAATTGGACCAGCTGGGGGGCGTGACCATGGTACCTGGGAGGTAGCATTTGGACATAAAGCAGCATTTGAGCTAGGAACAGTGCCAGGTTAGCATGTGCAAAGGCCCTGGGGTAGAGCTGACCTGGAGCTGTCCCCCAGCCAGTTAGTTTCAGCCATATGACACCAATTGGTCTCCTCCTCTTCTCTGTGTCTCCCCTTTGTGCCCCACTTCCTGTCTGCAGAGAGGGAATCGGTGACTGAGTCCAAAGGCCAGATGTTTCTTTGACTAGAATCTGAAGGTTGAGTGGAGTCTAACAAGCTAGATTTGATCATGGGACTTGTACTCTCAGCTCCTGGGTGCTTGTGGCCCCCACTCCATTCTCCCCATGCTGGGGGAAGGGGTTCCAGGCCAAGGAGGAGCCTCCTCAGGCACTGGGGAGCCACAGATGGTGCTGGAGCAGGGGCCTGGGGGTCAGGCTGAGGGAAGCAGAGCGGCTCCCGGTGGTCAGACACACGATCAGATTATTCTGTGGAGAGCCTTGTTTACTGGAGCCAGAGAATCCTCGAGGGGGGCATGTGGCCTTGCATTATCAGCTCTGCTCAGCTGCAGGGGTGGAGTGGGGAGAGGCTGGCTGTGGTTGCCTAGCTGTGTCCTCCAGCTGTGTGGTCTGGGCTGAGACTGTGTCTGTAGTGGTAGAGCGCTTGCCTTGCATGCCCTGGGTTTGATTCCTCAGCACCACATAAACAGAAAAAGCCAGAAGTGGCGCTGTGGCTCGAGTGGTAGAGTGCCCAGACCCTGAGTTCAAGCCCCAGGACTGGCAAAAAACAACAACCACAACAACCCCCCCCCCCACTAACATACACACATAGCTGTGGGGCCTGAGGATGGGGACCAGGGAGGTTAGGGTTGCAGGGCTGAAGTTTCATCCGTGTTAGCGTGAGAATGAGCTCTCTGTCATGGGAGAAGCAAGTGGGTGTTTGGCTATTTTGGCTCTTCATTGTTCTTTCCAGGCTCCCAGTCTCTTGTAAGTTTTACTCCCCACACACACAGCAGAGTAAGGAACACTCTAGGCAGTATTAAAACCCAGGGCTGGAACTCTACAGCCTCTGGATGGTAGGTCCGTGGTCAGCTGGTTCTGTGAAGCTATCCAGTGAAGGTCTGACTCAGGCTTCACACCTGCATCTGTTCCTATTTTAAATTTATTATTTTTTTTTTTTGTGCATCGTGGGGCTTGAACTCAGGCCCTGGGTGCTGTCCCTGAGCTTTTTTTTTTTTTTTTTTGTCAGTCCTGGGGCTTAAACTATGGGCCTGAGCGCTGTCCCTCAGCTCTTCAGCTCAAGGCTAGCGCTCTACCACTTGAGCCACAGCGCCACTTTCAGTTTTCTGGTGGTTTATTGGAGATAAGACTCTCATGGACTTTTCTGCCCGGGCTGGCTTTGAACCATGATCCTCAGATCTCAGCCTCCTGAGTAGCTAGGATTACACGCCTGAGCCACCGCTGCCAGGCTGTCCCTGAGCTTTTTTGCTTGAGGCTAGAGCTCTACCACTTGAGCCACAGCTCCACTTCTGGTTTTCTGTTGGTTCATTGGAGAGCAGAGTCTCATGGACTTTCCTGCCCTGGCTGGCTTTGAACCACAATCTTCAGATCTCAGCCTTCTGAGTAGCTAGGATTACAGGTGTGAGCCACTGGTGCCTTGCTTATGATGTTATGAACATACATCTATAATTTGTGTCTTCACAAATGGCTGGGATGGTGGAATGTTCTATTGTGCTGACTCCCCCCACCCTCCCCCTAGTTCTGGGTCTTGAACTCAGGGCTTGGATACTGTCCCTGAGCTTGTTTTGCTCAAGACTAGCACTCTACCACTTGAGCCACAGCACCACTTCTGGCTTTTTCTGTGTATGTGGTACTGAGGAATCAAACCCAGGGCTTCATGCATGCTAGGCAACCACTAAGCCACAGACCCAGCCTTCTGCTGACTTTTTTAATTTTTAAAAGATATTTATTTTATTGTAAAGGTGATGTACAGAGGGGTTACAATTACTTAAATAAGGAAATAAGTACAATTCTTGTTGAACATTGTTCCCCCTCCCTTGCTTTCTCCCACTTATCCCCCCCCCCATTCCCTTCCTCCCTCTGCTGACTTTGAGTTAATGGTTTTTGGCAGTCTTGAGGTTTGAACCCAAGACCTTATGCTTGCCAGGGAGGTGTTCTGCCACTTAAGCCAAACCTCTGGTCCTTTCTCTTTGCTTTTTTGTCAGTCATGGCAACTGAACTCTGGGCCTGGGTGCTGTCACTCAGCTCTTCAGCTCAAGGCTAGCGCTCTACCACTTGAGCCACAGCGCCATTTCCGGCTTTTTTCTTTTTGCTTATGTGGTGCTGAGGAATCGA